GGGGGAGAGAGAGAGAGTGCCGGGGGTGGGGGATGTTGGGGTTGGGCAAAATCTCCCTTCTCCAGCCATTGTAAGCAATTCATGGGCATCATCAATTTTGTATGAGAACAATGATGATTTTATGTACTTTTTTGCTTAATTTATTTAGGTAGGTGAGGTGGGTTGTCATTGTACTTGTAACTGTGTATTGCCCATGTGAGAGGGCAGCTGCATTTTTTTCCTGCGGTTGTGGCTTATACACTTGCATTTGATAAATGTAAGATGCCAATTACCAGAGAAAATGGACAGAGAAGGGTGAAAATGGAGAAAGCTTCCAAGCAATTGAATGTTTTATATGAAAATTTTTTATGGGTACTTGACCCCTACATATAATTTATGTGTATGGGAATCGACTGCAGTCGATCTCAGCTTGCTATGGGTCCCACATGCATATGATTTACTAGGATTGATAGTTCAATACCAGTGAGCCGATGATAATGTACAATGTTGATTGTGGCCTGAGAATAACAAGACTATATGGACCTTCTAATGGTCTGGCTCGCTAAAAGGTAAACATCAATGTTTATCCGTCCCTAGACAACAAAATGTAGTCATGCTCTGTGCTGACAAAACTTATTAGGCCGGCTCTGGCACATCAGAGTTTAGGCTTTAAATTCCTCTTCTATCATTTGATTCCCCAAGTTGAGAGAGAGATGTTGGTACTCCATTGCTTGTGTTTCAAGATAGTATTTCTCGTTGTTTGGAATATTGACCAATCATGGTATTTTGTCAGGGGTGCTGTAATTTTCCACATTGTTTGCCTTTAAATCAGAGAGAGTGAGAGACTTTGGTACGATCCCTACAATGGCATGAAAAATTATTTCAATGGTAAACAGTCATTTTTATAAAGATTATAAGTTCTTATGTCATTTCTCATTATTTTATTTATATCATTTTTGGTTTGCCCTTTGCCTAGATGAAGTATTTACTTGAATGAAATTGTACCTCTTAATTGGTGTTATATTGGATCTACACTGTAAATATTTTGCCTATCTAAGTTTACTTTCTTTTATCTTATTGCCAATTAAAACCACATCTTATTGCCAATTAAAACCACATGTAAGTACCTTTGAATGTATTAATTTTGAATTATATCATTTCTTGTTTTGTCATTCATTCATCTCAACATTTTTATCTCAGTATATCTATCCTGTGGGTTTGTTGTTTCTTGACCGTCTAATATTTTGTCCTATAGGGTAAACCTAGTCTCATATTTATCCTATAAACATATTTAAAATTCACAAACAAGGTTGAATATAGATTTTGAAACCATCATGAGGTTTCCAATACCAAAATTTCATCTTTCGGCATAATTTAGAGATGCACTTTACTTATAATATAAAATATACTATTTATACAAACCGCACCCTAAAAATAAAAGAGATTTCATGCTCTAAAAATAATTTTGCCTAATAATACATTTTCCGACTTCTATTTTAAGTATGAGTGTGATTTTTATAAGGTTCAGGCCTTCAACAATCAAAATAAGGTGCAACTCTAAATAGTGTCGAAAGATAATTTTTCAATAATAAGAAATCTTTGATGGCCTGAAAATTTATTTTTATCTATATTTATAAACTTTTAAGCTTAAAAAATAATGTAAATTATGCATATCTATAAACATTTGAAAATATTGAAATTGACGATCTAGATAATGCATTACAAGATGTATTATTTTCCAGACTTGAAATCCATTTTTATCGTGTCCATACATATTGAGGTTGATATGATCGATTTAAGGGTTTGCGATATCAAAACAACTTTTTCTGGTGAGTTTTTTAGGTGCATCTTAATTTGATTGTTTGGGGCCTCAACCTTATATAAACTTTTTTTTGAGGTTTTATTCATTTCATAAAGGAGCGGCCTTACCAAAATGAGTTTGAAAATTCGGCGATTTGGATCGGGAATCATCAAAGCCGGTTTGATTCTTGTCATATATTGAGAACTGGTGGGTCCAATTCAATTCCTATCATATATCGGGAATCGGCCAGGTCCCCCTTGAATTGGGTGGTTCTGTCATAAACTGGTAGATTATGTTGGACTCGAATTGGCTGTTTATATTTTTATAATTTTAACTATCACATTTTTAATCCCCTCCGCGTCATTGCACATAATGCCAAAACCATGGGTTCGTCTCTTCGACGAGGGACTTGTTTCTTTACGATATGCCCGATGTAGGATTAAAAATACGGAGAAGATTTATTTTTGGTACAAGGAGGTTACAATTGGTACTAGACATTAGATGTTAACTTGAGATATATCATAAAATTTGAATTTTTTTTTTTAAACTTGAAATCTAATCAATGTTGCATTCACAACCATCCGATTTGAAATCTGATGGAGAAAAGTAATATGACCTTATTGTATTAAAAAAAAATAATTTCTTTGTATAGTTTCCCCTTAAAAATACCTCCGCTGCATCTCTCTTGATTTTCTAACTTTCCTACAGCAAAACCAGCGAAATATGAATTCGCGGGACATGATATTTTTGCAAGTGGAGTCTTAAAAATAAACGCATTGACTGTGTATATTTATGGATCACAGTTAGTAGGCTATACGATCTATTTTTCTCTTATCAAGTTATTATAGTTTTATAAATTTGTCTTTTTTCTACTTTTATTGATTTGTTAATATAATTAGTGATGTCCTAATCTAAGTTATATTATGTATTTATTTTAAAATGCACATGCGCGTATAGTATCCTTGCAAATGCGTCTTCGAGATTTTGTTGCAATAACACAAAATAAAATTTATATCTTGTCTCGTTCTTAAGTTTTTTTTTTTTTCATTGTGTGTGATATAATCAAACCCCTTAACATTGGAGATTTAAATATATTTTAATCGATGGACACAAAATTTACTACCCCGTAACATTTTATTAGTCCAAAATTTAATAAGTGAAAACAAACATGGCATGAGCCTTGTATGTACGTGTTTGGTTGAAAAAAACTTTATTTTACCTTTTATGGACCGCGTGAACTTACGTCCTTCCTTAAGCTTCAACATCAAGTGCGTTTGTTCTCTTTTAAAAAATAAATATCATTTTAGTGAGTTAGAGAGATATATTTTATTATCATAATTTTTAGTATTTATTTATTTTTGACATATAATAATAAATAATTATAATATATTACCATTATTTTTTAAAATAAATTTTAAAAATTTATCATGATTTTTTTAAAAAAAATTGACCCTATTCATAAACCTTATACGATTTTTGACGCGGCTGATCCGTTTTCTTAAACCTCGGCCAAAAGTAAAGTAATGGAGCCCCGACTGTCCACTGCCTTGAATTTCAACACGGGAAGGCGGCAAATTTTACCGATAGAAAACGTAGAGAGAGACAGAGAGTGAAAGAGCGGGAGCAAATTTTCTTTATTCCAGAGAGATAATGGCTGCAACGGTGGCGAGGTAGATAGAGAGGAAGCGTATCCAAGAAGAGAAGAATGAAACCCTAATTTCTCCCTTCGAAATGTCTCGTGAAAGGCTATCTGCCCATGTCTCTTCTACCACAGAGGACAACAACCTGTAATTTCTCTCTCTCTAAGAATCCATTTTATCGTCATTACTCATTATACTTTCTTATGGCCTAAAAATTGGTTGGCAGAGCACATGATAGAGAATTAGGGCTTTCTTTTGAGATGAGGAATATCAAATTAGGTTTCTCATTTATTCCCTATCATGCATACGCAGTAATCTTTTAAACTTTCATCTATAGCTTACTCAGGAGATAACGGTATTTTTCATTAATTCTAAGTGTTTGTATATCTTTGATCTCTGTCAAAATAATGGCTACAAATTTGTAATTTAATTTTGAACTTGGTCTCATGGTTACGGCATATGGTGAAAGGTTAAAAAACGAGAGAATTGATGTTTAATTGTTTATGTTATGGTTTTGTATGTTATGGATTTTGAATAGGACTGACACCTTTCATGGAATTGTTTTCATTGAAAATAATAGATCTATGATTTTATTTTATTTTATTTTTTCTGGAGAAATGAAATCATTCAACCTTATAATTCTTAGTAAGAAAATGGTCCAATATCTTTGTATTTGAACAATAGATCTTATTTAGGATTATCAACAAAAAATGTGCTTCCTCTGATGCGTTGGATGGAAATAGCTTTGGTGTTAGAATTAAGCAAGAAAATTTAGGCAATGTAGTTTTAATTGTTTTTATAGAATTTGTGGTAGAAAAATGGTGTATTAATGAATGATCTCATAACCTTCTTGATGAAATACAAAAATTTGTTTCAAAGGGAAAAAAGAAATGCAAAACATGAGGCACACTAGAACAGGGACTCATATATGCTCTTAACTTGGTTAAAGCCAATGTTTCAGCCTCTTTGCATCCTGTCTATACTTATGTTGCATGGTGGTACCCAATTTATCTCCTGCAACAAATATTGATTAAATAAATCGGAAAAGTAATTGTTGCCTTGTTGGGCGAGAGAATGAACCCTCACATAGACCTTGAGAGTTTCTAATTGCTTTTTATGTTTTATTATTTTATATGCTTTTGATGTTAACCAATGTTTAGGAGTTCATAGTTATGACAGCAGTCATGTTTAAATAGTTTTGCACTTAAATTTGATTGAATGCTATTGCTTTTACGAGGCTTGCACCAAATCATGGTGATTGTCACCATGGACCATGGTACAAGCCATTTGGGAGAAAGTTGTTGCGTGTGCATTTATATTTGAGTTTCTATGAATTGATATCTGAGCTTCTCAAAGTATCTGAGTTCTTTGTCCTTTTGGCTTTGGCCATTTTGGCATGGTGGCCTTTTGTACATCAATGACTAAGTGACAAGGTTGCGCAAGCGTGTCAACAACAGACAGATGTTGACACCTCCAAAAAATGGCATGTTAGACATGAAACATCTATGCAATTATGAGGTTTCAAGATATATATATTCCTGAAGTCATATATTTATGTATAAACTTAACTTAGATAAGTAAATAAGAATAAAATTGACAAAAATTATTTGCTCATGTTGACAAGCATATCAAACACATGTCCTTGTGTGGCACATGAAAATGTGTCTGACATGTGTGTCCCTGTTGTATAGATCAGTGTCTTTCTGTTGTTTTGAAGCATTGTTTGTTTTCCTTGCAGATTTGTTGACATATTGCATGATGCTCCTTTATCTGGTCATCGACAGCATCGTGGCATTCTTGGGAGCATTTTATACTGTATATTATTGGTATGTGGACCTTTCTTATCTATAAATATTTCGCTAGTATTTTGGAGCTGCTAATTTGTAGGGTTTCATCCTCTTTCATTAGTAGCTTGTGCTTTTATTTAGTTATTTTTGTTTGCTTGGATTGAGCTTATTCTCTGGCTTTTGTTCTTTTTTTTCTAGGCAGGATTTGCAATCTTTGCTGCAATAACTTCTTGGGTATTTTCTTCAATACACAAATTTGTGCCGGCATTGCTTTGCAGTTGCAATGTCTTGCTGCTGATTATCACAGGTCTTGTAATATAATTGCATCTGGTTTTGTTAGCACACTTTCATGATGAACTGCCACAAAAGAAATACTGAATCCTTTTCTCTAGCATGTCCCTTGTATAAGTTTGAGTTTCTTGCACTACGTGGCTTATGCAGTATGTGGATTTGGGAGTGCAACTTTTGTGCATCTATTTAATATGTTGTTTTGAATTTGCATATTTTTGTTGTTTGGTATTGGTCATTGGCATATGTTGTGTCTCTAACATATGGTTTTCTCACTGTAATGTGTTTGGTTTGTTCAAAACAATACATGGAGTTGATGATTCTCATTATTGTGGTTCTTTGCTTTAATAATTTGGAGAAATTGATTGTGTTCTATGGATCTAAAGGCTCTATTACTTTGCATGCTTTTGAACGTCAAACCTAGAACTGACAAATTGCATAGCTAAGCCTAATATAGGCTGTTGCAAAATATTTTTTGATGCAAATGGCCTCCATTCCTCTCTAAGATAGGTAATGCCAATCAGCCAGCATCCACATATTCTGGTTTTTATGTCATTTATATGCACTTGAAGATAATATATTCGACCTGATTTCATGTTTATGGTAAAAGAATAATTTTAGGCATTGTCATTCTTTACTTTTGTTTGATCTACTTCCTATCATGTTTTTCATATGTCAAGCTCTGGAGCTCAATAGAATAGTGCCTTGACAGGTGCCTTTCAACAATATCTGGTGTATCAAGTGATGAAAATTAGATTGCAGGTGACAACTTTAACGTTAGCTCTTTAGGCTTACATGATCATGATGTTGCAACTTGCAAGTCTTGTAATGTAGATTTCTGTTGATTAATCTAATGGAAATTCTCATTGCAAACTGTTGAAATGTGTGAACTTTTTCTTTTCTGCTTTTATTTTTCTTTATTTTAACTGCTGACAGTGACACTTGTGGCTCAATATAGAGGAATATTTCTAACAATGACTTAGTGCAGGCGATGATTTAGTTTTCCTTTCCAACATGCTCTCTTTTTTACTACATGCTCCCTCAAATCTAACAATTGCTTCAACTTATTCGTTTTCTTTGCCTGCAAAATTTTATGCAACAATTTCAGGATTTCATGTTATTGTCATAGTGAGATCTTTAGTGTCAATTACTTGAGGTTTCAAATTCTTCATTTTGGCTTTAGTTGGGGTTTTAGTCCAGGGTTTGTTGCTTATCTCATTGGGAGAACATACTGGAAATGAAATTTCCACAATTTTTGTTTTTGTAGGGTTATTACATTTTTAGCCAGAACTTGAAGCCAATTGTTCGTCTTCCTTTCACCACTATCTCTTATGGTGAGTTCTATGATATATTTTGGTTCCTTGCCCTTTCTGTTTCCATATTAGATTACTTACTGGGAAATGATCGGTCATGGTTTGTAGTTATTTTTAGTTGATTAAAAAGAAGAAAGAAAAGTATTCTGGTTCCGGTTTTCAAACTGCCAATGAAAACATCATGCACAAGTATGATATGTGTACAGAAATATGTCTGACTATTTAGTTCATCATATTTGTAAACCTTTTTTAAATCATTATTTCTATTTTGGTTAAATACGTGATCTATTTCAGTTTTAGTAGTTTATATCTAGGTTATCTATATCTTACTATTTAATAATGAAAAGGCTATCTAAGTCAATAGAGGGACTTGAGTTGCAGCAGGAGTGCATATGGGATGTTATAATTTCTTTGTGAAGGTTACATTTAATATGCTTGTAGAACCTTAAAGCCTTTCCTCTTTTGCATATTGCTGAACTGCTCATTTGTTCTGCTTTCAGATATCCGCACATATATTCTACAATTCAATGTTGTAATTAAGGGCCAGTTTGGATGTACCCAAAATTGCAATACTTTTGGATTGCAATCCAAAAATCTTGTGAAATAGATTTGACCTGTCTGGACAACCACCAAAAATGGCAATATTTATTTATTGCAATAAAAAATTCTGGAGTTTCAAGGCAAAAGTTACAATAAAAAAAAATTCAAGTCATAGTTGACTTTGTTCAGATGGGCTGTCTCTCACCTGTCCATGAACAACAGAGATGCCCAAAAACCCAAACCCCATCTCTCTACTTTCTCTCTCTAAACTTGAGTCACCAAAAACTAATCACCCCAAATACCATCTCTGTAAAAACCATCCATCTTTTGCTCCAAGCTTCAACACCGAAGGAGCCAAAAACCCCAAATTCCATCTCTGTAAAAAACATCCATCTTTTGCTCCAAGCTTCAACACCGAAAGAACCGAAAACCCCAAATTCCATCTCTGTAAAAAAACCATCCATCTTGGTTGTAAAAAACCCCAAATCCCATCTCTGTAAAAAACCATTCATTTCTGTAAAAAACCCCAAATCCCTTCTCTGAACCGGCGTACCTTTTCTTTTGATTCTAGGCCTGACCTCAGTTGCAGAAATGGAAGAAAATGGATGAGGAAGAAGAGTTGCATAAATGGAAGAAAATGGTTGAGGAAGAAGAGTTGTATGGTCCGAAATGGTAGAAAATGGATGAGGAAGAAGAGTTACAGAAACTAGGGTTTGGGCTTTGGCCATGGTGCCATTTTCTCTCTCCAGACGTTATTTGCAACTCATTTCCACTTCACCTCCATGCTTGGCTGCCTGCATAACTACAGCACCAGCTTCGAGTGAGGCAACCTATTTCTCTCTCTCAAATGGAGCTGGTAGGACTTGTATGAGGAGAGAGCGTATGTTATTGTGAGAGGAGTGCAAATATGCCTCCCACCCACCCCTGCTTCAGCGCCCTGTCCCTCCGCGAAACTAATTTTAACATGTTCCCACCATCCAAACAGTTCAACAAACTAATTAAAAAAGATGATACTATTTATTAATAAGGTTGAAAAAAATTGTAATTTTTTTCAATGTGAAGGTTTTTTTATTTGACATCCAAACTGGCCCTAAAGTATAATTAATTATCAAAAAGGAAAAAATAACAGTTTTTTGCTTTTAGGTCTTGCTTGTTTCTCATGTTCTGATGTTATGGTAACTGCATCTCTTAGTGAGAATAGTTCTGTTATCTAATTTACTTTCATATTGTTTTTACTTTCATATTGTTTTTCTAGATCCCATTCTTAATCATGATTTTGGTTTGTCAATGTGGTCTAGGAACTGCTCTAATTCTCTTAATAACTGTCTGGGAGCCTTTGATCAACATTCATATATTGTCTGTCTCTGCCTTGATCAGGTATTCTTGGCGTCTTCTCTGCACCTCTTTGTGCTTTGAACTGATCAACAAATAAAAAAAGAAAGAACAAAAAAGTCTTTCTGCTTAGATCTATCAAAAGGCCCTTTTTCGAAAAGATTTTATTATGTTTGTTCAATTTCAATATGCATTGGTGTTCTGTTCCATTTCTTTTTTGTAATAAATTGTCTGCCTTTCCTCTTTTCTTCATTTTAGATGTTTATCCTTTAGTCATGTTTATGAGCAAAGAACCATGAGATCCATAGATGCCTATGAATGTATTGAGCTTATCTAGATGCATGCAACCATGTGGATGTCCATGCCTGTGCATGAATCTATGCTTATGCTTGTTGAAATGCTTCGATTCATGGAATAGTTTGACAAGATGCACCCAAGCCTGCACAGAGATGGGGAGTTGTGGACTTGCACATTGGTCTGCATTGAAGCTGCATGGGTTCTAGCCGTTTTCCAGTTGACGCATATGTCTGGTACTTTGTGCTGTACCCATTGTATTTTCCGTAGATCATCAACAGAACTTATGTACAATAAAGCATTGTGAAACCATTAAATTACCTTTTGACTCTATTTTTAGGACTCTTGTGGTTCATATATACATATGGATATTATGGACCACATCGAAATTGTGTGGATGCTTTCATGTAGGGCAGCTACTGGGGCCGGGTTGAGGTTAGATGGAGCCCTATCTGATAGAAGTCCAAAATATTCAAGGACAGGCGCGGTGCGGTGCGGGCCCGGCCCGAAAATGTATTTTCAGGTCTGACACTGGCCCAGCCCAGAAAGCCTTTATTGAAGGCCAACTTGGCCCTGGCCCGCCCATTTAGGGAAGCTTAAAAAAAAGGCCATCCCCCTTGCAGCCTCTCTCTCTCTCTCCTCCCCCTCCCCCCCAAAAGTCCCATTCTCTCTCGACTTTCTTCTCATCCCTCTCTCTTTCTCTCACGGCCTCTCTCTCTCTCTCCAAACATCGCATTCTCTCTCAAACTTTCTTCTCATCTCTAGCCCCAAAAGTCCCCATTTTTTCTAACTTTCTTCTTCAAACTGTCCATGGCACCCAAGGCCGAGAAGAACTCTGCCTCCAACAAGGAGGAGGAGAGTTGCAGAGAAAGCCTGTGGCTGTGAAGAATCGGAAGGCTGACAAATGCCTTCCTACAAAACAGGGAGGAGTTTCAGAGAAGAAGAAGAAGAAGGCACAGAAGCCCACCAAGAACAAGTGCCATTAAAGCACAGACCCGTTTCCATTTTGAAATCTCCATCTCCCTCCTCCATCTCTCTGAAAACCCACCTCAATCGTGCCATACCTCCAAAGCCCCAATTTAAATCCATCTCAATATCCCCACCCTACCTGTCACAAAGCTTTAGAGAGAGAACCAGAGTTTCTTGAGAAAGCGGGAGTTTTAGATAGAGAGAAAACCAGAGCACCTTCTGGAGCTAGAGTGGGAGTTTTAGATAGAGAGAGAACCAGAGCTTCAAAGAGAGAACGAGAGTTTCTTCAATTCTCTCTTTCTGCCTTGGGGTGGGAGACTCATTAGGCCAGAGAGCTGTCTTCTCCACTGGCTTTTCTCTCTTCTCTGCAAAAACAAAGCAACCCAACAAACCCAACTGAGAGAGAGGGGCAGGGAATAAGACCAACTTCAGAGAGAGAGAGAGAGAGAGAGAGAGAGAGAGAGAGAGACGACGACCAAGTAGTAGGGTAAAGCTTTGACGATGACAGAGAGAGAGGAGGAGAGGGGGGCGTAGGTAAGAGAGGAGTAGAGAGAGAGAGAAGGTCTTTTGATTTTTAAGAGAGAGAGAGAGGATTAGGTGCTGTTTATTGTTGTGGGCTTTCGGGCCTTAGAGCATGACCTGGCCTGAAAATAAATCGGGCTTCCTTTGCCCTATTCGGCCCAAGGTCTGGAACCAAGACCTTGCCAGAAAGCCCGTGGCCTTGCCCGGACCATTGGCTACCAGCTTACCCTACTTTCATGTGTGTGTGAGTGTATGCTTTGCAGCATGCATGTTGTGTGTATATAAATGTATCGCTTGCTTCTACTTTGACATTTGTGTGCATGCATCTCAATTTCACGTTGAGAACTTAACACTTTTATCCCAGGTTTACATTAGCTTTCAGTAACTGAAAAAATGTGATTCACTAGGAGTTGTTTTTTCCATAATTATTTTTGTATGCCCAAATTCCTTGCTTCTCATTTATCCTGCAAATAAAAGTTTACTTCCTTGTTCAATTGTTGTTGTATTACATTGATTTTTTGTATGTGCAGGATAATTATGTTTGTTGAAGTCATCTGTGTTGGTTCTTTTATGAGCTTGTATATTGGTGAGTTTCATACTGTAGGGCATATTTTAGAGTGATGGAACTACATGCAAATGTATTGGAAGGTTCATATAGTATTGAAAATGTCACTAACATGCATCCAGTGATCTTCTCATCATCAAATGTTTAATTTTTTATAGTTTTCTACATAAGATTCCGAAATTAATTATCCATTTCCTTCTGCAAGTTTTTGTTCTGTAAATATGATGAAATCCTGTATTTGGTTAGTCGAAAGTAAATAGAAAAGATGATATAAATGTCAAATTGAAAAAATATCTGGATATATCTATCCAAGCTATGATAAATACTATGTTTCTTTTAATGATGAAAGACATGCTATATTAGATTCTATTCAACCGCTATGGTCAGTACTGCATCAGCCAGCAATTTGGTTTGTTGACTTAAGAGAAGCATTCTAGAAACTGAGCTGATTTTGATGAACTCCACAAGTTTTTGACCAATTCTAAAACAAATTTAAGCAAAAAAAAAAACTGTAGGAAAACATGTAGAAATGCTGGTAGAGCTCTGGCGCCACCAAATTCGGCAAAATTTGATGATGGAATTGTACCTCTTTATTATTATTATTTTTAACTGGTCTTAGATTTTTTTCATGATCTGAATCATTACAGCTGAACTTCACAAGTTTTTGATCAATGCTAAAACAAATTTGAGCAAAAAAATCAACTATAGGAAAACAGTTAAAAATGCTAATAGAGCTCTGGCTTTGCTAAATTTGGCAAAATTTGAAGCATTAGGTCATGTTTTATTTTTATTTTTATTTTTAAAACTAGTCTTGGATCTTTGCACGATCTGAATCACATTACAGCTAAAATAAGATGTTTTTAGTGTCATTGTCTTAATTTTGCTCGTATAGCATTTTTCTTCTTCAAATTGCTTGTAGCTGGATCAATGAGAATATATGGATAGTTATTGGTTCTTCATGGAACCAGCCTGTCCAGCTCTAAGTCAAGCTGCGACATAATTGTAACTCACAGATACACTGATCTGTCCGATTGCTGCTTTGTTTTGACTTGAGTTATAGTTGTTTTTGACTAAGCCTGATTGTCTACTTTTTTTTGTAGTTTATTCCATAATGTACATCTGTTGCATGCAGGGTCGATCCATCGGTACAACACATTGGACAATCAGCCTGATGTTTTGAATTCGCTATATTCAGCTCTTCAACCATCAAGTTCATTGGAAGAACTTAGGTCGGGTAGTATTTCTACTCAAACTCATATATGTAGTTGAATTAGGAACGTGTCAGAAATAAAGTATGGCACTGTTTCAATCATGAATAAGCTCTACCAAGTATTACCAAGCATTTGGTACTGAGTTTCCCCCTCCGAGAGAATCTGAAATTTTGTTATGTGATCAAATAAAGGAAAACGTATTGGACTTTATGTGAGGAGTAAAAGTTTTAAGAAATAAAATATGAAAAGGGTTAAAAAATTGTGGATGTCAAATGGACTTGGCTCTTTGTGCGCTTAATTTGGTGTATATGGCTTGATTCAATTCACTCTAGTGGGCTCTATTATTCTTTTATTCTGGCCTTGAATAGGCGGATGTAGGTTGATATAAAAGAGCAGCCAAAATCTCTCCAGCGAACTGTCCAACCTAGTGCATATTATTCCTACTGTTAAAAGTGTTGAACGGTGAGGACGTTCTTTCCAAAACTCAAAAGAGCAGCAAAGTTATGTAGCATATTGTCCACCTAAGCAGAGATTCTTCCTATTATTGGATTGTAGAGGAAAAAAATTACATTCATTGCCTTCATGAGGGACATGTCCAGTTGGCCCTATATCTACTTGAATCATTCATATGATGTGTAGCTCGTGTCAAGGAACTTGTGCATATGCTTTCTCGATAATTAAATAACAGCATTGTGTACAATTGTTTGCTCCTGTAAGTTTACAGTTTACAGTAAACCGTTTATCTTTGCTATCACATAATCAAAATAAAATGTTGATAACTTGGTCCTGTAGGGCATTTCTCACGTCTTAGGCGAGGTAGTCACACTCTTTTCTTCTCATTCATCAGTAAAAGAGTATGTTTTGCCTATATTTTATTGATACACTGTTTTTCTCACAGATATCATGATGGGGGCCGTCTTTCTGATCAACAAATGGCTTTGCTGCAATATCAGCGGGATAATCTACACTATTTGAGTGAGGAGGTAAACCTCATCTGTTCATGTGATGCAATTCCATTTAGAACAAACTGGTTATTGGTTTTTGACATGTCCATATTTTTGTATGCTTTCTTGAATGCAGATTCTACGGTTGCAGGAATGTTTGAGCAAATATGAAAGATCCGATGATGGAAGTACGCCTCAGGTTATTGTTCACCTTTAGAGTTTTTTGGTGTTCCTCTTGACCCTAGAGTTATTATGTTTACAGGGTATGTCAACTTCTTGTATGATTTTGCGAAATCATTTGTGATATGGTTTCAATACTAGAAATCATTTGTGTCAAGAAATATGGTTTCAATACTGGAAATCTTTGTGATAGCCTTAAAATATATTTTCATCTTTAATTATAAAATTTAAAGCTTAAAAAGTAGTGTAGATTGAGTAGATCTACAAAAACTTGAAAATCTTGAAAATTGACGGTCCAAAAATTTGTTATAAGATGCACTATTTCCAAAACTTGAAATCCATTTTTTCTCACGTCTATGCATCTTGATGTCGAGATGATCAATTTGAAGATATTTGGGCATCAAAACAACCTCTTCTAGTAAAATTTTTGAGTGGGCTCTAATTTGATTGTTTTTTCAGCTCTATATAAACTTTTTCCTTATTTAAAAGAATGGCTGTGACAGTGATGCGCCCTATTCATACGTGATTTGAATGTGACTGGGATATGTAATATATTGCCCATGGATTTTATATGACTGCCTCAGGGCCTTTATAACAGATTGTAGTTTTTAACATTGGAATGGTAAAAAAGGGGAATCAGGACTCTTAGTAACTGGCATTTTAATCAGAAGTTTGTAATTTTCCTTTCCTTACAAGATTTCAATATTTTCAGTTTTTTAGATTTTTTTTTTCCTTCTCTTTTTTTTCACCCTTATTTGCTTTTTTCCATGACTGTACACTATAACAGACTACTAGCATTGTATAAAAATAAAATTCCTCCGCTTGTTGAGATTTGGGGGTCTAAACCTTCGCATCAACTCAATGGCAATATATAAGCTAATGTGAAGAAGAGCTTCGGCTTTAACTCTCAATGAAGATCAGTTGTGTAGCTTTCACTCTTGTTTTGTGATGATGGTTATCCGGTCGTGTGACGATCACTAATTCAAATACTAAAAAGTCAGTAATGTATAACAGGAGACACAAGGGTTCAAAACCCATATGCTTGCCGTATAATTTGAAGTTCTCATTAAATGGCGCGGCTGTGCTCATAGAAAGGTAGTATTGGAATAGTAAATAATGGATCTCTCTTGGATAAATCTGCAGGTTGATCTAGTCCATCTTTTGTCGGCTCGTGAGCAAGAATTGCGGGCACTATCTGCTGAGGTACTAGCTTGTCACTTACCAGTATAAGGGATTGTCAAATGTTAATTTACATTAATAAAAGTTTGCAAGATATGTCAAACTTTCCAACTTGTAATGACACCCAGTTTGTGCAAGTAAATTGAAACTTTGAAGCTTGTCTTTTCTAGAAACCAACTAATTTGCATTCAACTGTAGAATGGAATTATGATTAAAAACAATACAAAAGAAAAGAAGGCTGATTAAACACAAAAGAACTGATTTGTTTAAGTGAATTCCATTAAGTCACCTACCTTCTGGAATCAGCCCTAGGCCATTTCCAGAAGCAAACTATAACTAGCTTGATCTAGTAATTGGACACACCTAAGTGATTGAGCTTCTCTACTTGAAAACCACATAAATCATTATCTTGGTTTACTTTCTCAATGTAATTCTTTTCAAAGGGACAGGAAGAGATGCATGACCAGTTTTAAATTAATTCCTTATAATCTTATCCCCCATATTTCTGGTAACTTGTATATTTTGTTGATCTTGACATGTGTGTCTCTTGTAATTTGTGAATTCATTTATTTAAATATTGGGGAGAAATCTAAGGAAATGGGTTTGGGTCAAGACGGTAGAGGCTGGATTTTCATAGCCTAACGTCTCAAGTTCCATACCTATGATGTGGAAACTTTGCAATTTTACATATCACCCTTTTTTTGGTCTTATTTTCAAAAGGCCCTCAAATGTCATGTTGTAGTCAGTCAATAATAGGTCGGAAATTGTTCCCCTTCGATCAAAATGAAAACACTTATTAGGAAAACCACTTACATGAGAGATTGATATTTTTGGGTATCAATGTCTCAGTCCCAACTTTCTACAAGATACTGGTATTTTTTAGCATCAATATCTCAACAAGTAAATTACCATCTTGGTATTTGAACAACATCTCTTTGAGTTACCTTGTGAGATATTGATAGTTTGAATATGAAATATCTCACAAGAGTTAATTTTTCACTAGATATTGGTGTCCAAGAACGCCAATATCTCACTCTACAACACTCTATGAGACATTGGTAGCTTTGAAAACTAATATCACATCAAATAAGTCACCTGCTGAGGTATAGGCATTTTTGCATGCCAATATCTCACCAAGTTTTGGCATATACAAATACTCCTAGTATTTCACTATGCGATACCAATACATGAAAAATACGAGTATGGCATATATGTAGTTTTCTTAGAAACCACTTTGGTTTTGATGGAGAGGCAAAATTGGGGATTTCCCCTCCATCAGTATGTGTCCCTTTATGATGTGCACTTTAATGTACCTTGACGGGCTTTTTGAAAGTAGGACAAAATGATTGGATAAAATGTTAAATAGAGAATCTCTTAGATGTAGTTTGATAAGTGAGTGAGTTTTCTGTATCTATATACATATATTTACGTGTCTTGAAACATCCAGCGTTCTGATATCAGACAATTGGTAATGAGCTGACAACAATGTCATAAATTACTAATTGGTTGACAAAAGCAGATGGTGCCAGCCAGTTAAATTGTTTTTTGGCTCATTTCCAGGCAGGTGATTAAGATCAAACAGCTCTTGGTTTCTAAATACATAAACCTATTAATGCCATTGCAGTTAAACCAAGTGCAGTCAGACCTGCGTCTTGCGCGTGAGTTGATCATAGAGCGTGACTCTGAGATTCAACGTGTTCGCGCTACTAACAATCAGGTATTATCTCATCTGTCAAATTGATCGAAGGAATAGTATAGTATAATTCAATGGACTATGGGAAAAACCATAGTCATTCAATGGATGGTGATGGATAGACTGGATCTGCCTGAACAGGGGGACCATCCTTGTGGACTCCACATTCTTCATCAGTATATCTACTGGACTATGATTTTACCTTAATTTATTGGATTATAATATACTTTTTCATTGTCCAAGTCTTAAGATGCATTCATTTTGGTTTAGGACAAGGCTTTTACACTTTGTTTACTTCTTCCTAGGTCTTCTTGCAATATGAAATTCAACTTGTAGTTGTTGAATCCTCGTTTTCCATCTTGTTTGGACTTTGGACTTCTATCGAATTTCTCATTTGTATTTGATGTGAGGGGAGACGTTCGCATTTTAGTCACTGTGCATACTCTGTGTGTGCGTGTGTGTGCTGTATGCATGCAGATAGACACCATGCACGCACACAAACACCACATTCTTCAAAATATTTGCCTTCTATTGGGTTACTATCTGGTATTGTTATGCTAACGAAAGGATAATTTCTTGTTCAGTATGTCGAGGAAAACGAGAGACTCAGGTCCATCCTAGATGAATGGAGTGCTCGATCTGCAAAGGTATGTTTTAGGTATCCATAGATAAGCCTCAACCATCACATTTTGTGATGCACCATACATGGTGATGTTAGAGAGAGAGAGAGAGAGAGAGGGTGGGAGATGTATGTAGTAGAAAGTAAGTCTGCTGACTAAGTGTACTTTTAGTTTTTGGTTTGGTTTTCGTACCGTTAGTCGTTACGGAACGGGTCTCGTAGGGAAGGAAGAAGTA